GGGCCCATGGGTACTTACTAAGTCCCATGACCCTTTAAGTTTGCTTCACCCTCAGGGGTTTAGGGGTAAACCGCGGTTGGAAAAGCCCTAAACCCCTAAACCGTAACTCCTAAACCCCTGAACCCTAAACCCTAAACCCCGGGTTGGAAAAGCCGAGGCATCGGACCGTGTAAAACATACGCCGCGGCAGCGGCTTCCTGGTCACTCAGAAGGCTCCAGGTTTAGGGCTTTAAGAGTTTGAGGGCTTAAGGGTTTAGGGTTTAAGGGTTTTAGGGTGCAAGGGTTTGAGGGTTTAGGGGTTAAGGGTTTAGGGTTTAAGGGTTTAGGGTTTTGGGTTTTAGGGTTGAGGGTGGTTTACCTGAATTAGGGGTATGAGTAGTGATTACAAGTATACACTATCTTATCTAGGACCCTAGTTACTAGGCCCCATGATCCTTTAAGTAGGGTCAGGGCTTCGGAGCTACATACACAAGATGACAGGTGTGGAAGCCCTGCTTGACTAGTTGCTCGGACCGCAGGTATGGGCCTAAGCTTACTGAAACTGGTAGTCTCAGAACCCAATAACCGATTCTAAACCCTTAACGCTATAAACCCTAGACCCTATAAGACCTAAACCGTGCAAACATTATAAGCCTTAAACCCTACATCAAACCCTATAATCCCTAAACTCTGAACCCTGTAAACCCTAAACCCCGAGGTTCCCCAGAGATCTCGCAAGGATGCTGGGGTCTGGAGTCGCAAGGTTCATGATGCATGGTTTAGGGTTTATAGGGTTGAGGGCTTATAGGGTTGAGGGCTTATAGGGCTGAGGGCTTATAGGGTTGAGGGTTTATAGGGTTGAGGGTTTATAGGGTTGAGGGTTTATAGGGTTGAGGGTTTATATAGGGTTTAGGGTTTAGGGAAAATGGTATAGGGCTTATAGGGTTTATGGGGTCTATAGGGTTTATAGGAAATCCTGAGTTTAGAATGCTCAATGAAACAATGAGAAAAGCATATACTCGCGGTTGGTATATATCCATAAGCAGTAAATCCTTAAACCCCTTTCTTAACCCCCCTATAGACCTTATAAACCCCAAACCATTTTCCCTAAACCTTAAGCCCTATAAAGCCTAAAAGCACTAAACCATTTTCCCTAAACCTTAAACCCTATAAACCCTAAACCCTATAAAGGAAGCCAGAAGCATCGAAGCAAACATTTAATTTCTAATCCGAAAACCCAACTCTTACCCCCTAATTTAAACAGCAAATCCTAAAAACCCAAAATCTTAACCCCAATGTTTAAAAGGAGCCCAGAAATATCGAAGCAAACATTTACAAGTAACCTCTGCGAAATGCCTCCGGCGAGTCTAGGCTGACCCGGGATGAGTTTTTACAGGTTTTACTCAAAGGATCATGGGACTTAGTAAGTAGGGTTATAACTAAGGTAATTATACTTATAATCCCAATTAGGTTACCTACTAAGTCCCAATGATCCTCCAGGTAGGCCTCAGCAAGACCAGGTCTGGGATTCGGGTTCAGGGTTTGGGTTTAGGTTTAAGGTTTTAGGCCTACTTGGAGGATCATGGGACTTAGTAGATAAGGTTATAAGTCCCTTGATTTGGGTTACAAGTAAATATAAGTATAGTTACTTACTAATTCCCATGATCCTTTAAGTAGGAGGTAGGATTTAGGGGACCTTTGGGGATATTGACCCTCTAAATAAGGTCCCTTTTAATTTAAGAGAGCCACAAGTAAGGTTAGAAGGTTCTCCGTTAAGGGCTCTCCGTAATACTACCTAGGAAAGGCCTCAGCAAGTCAAGATCTGGGAGTCGGGTTCAGGGTTAGGGTTTAGGGTTAGGGCTTAGGGTTTAGGGTTTAGAGTTTATAGGGTTTAGAGTTTATGGGGTATAGGGTTTAGGGGCAAGTTAAGATCTGGGATTCGGGTTCCGAGATTGGAGTTTCGGATGTAGGGTTAGGGATTCAGGGTTTGGGGGTTTAGGGTTTAGGGTTTAGGGTTTGGGCTTCAGAGTATGGGGTAGCCGTTCTTCGAGAAGAGACGGCGACACCCAACACAATCTACTTTCAGGGTCCATGTAGGCAGTGTTTAGCTAGAGTATGCGTAGGCCATAAAAGGCGCTGCTATATATCCAAAGTAAGCGTGTTCTGCTGTGCTGTTCTAACAATGGGTGCATGGACACTATAAAACCCTATCCAAAAGAAAATCCTCAAACCCCGAAGCCCTGAACCCTCACTACTGCGCAATCCTAAACCTCAACACACACAGATGCTCTGCCCAAGAATTGCCCCAAAGCCCTGCAACCCGCAGGGGGAACGCCCTTGACCCTAAACCCTAGACCCTAAACCCTAAACCGGAAAACGACCCTGAACGCTCAGCCTTGCTTGTGGTTTTCAGGTTTTGGTTCCCCTTAAACCCTAAGCCTTTAAACCCTGAAGCCCTCAAACCCTAAATCCTAAACCCTAAATCTCTAAACCCTTAAACCCTCAACCCTGAAACTTTAAACCCTAGAAACACTAAATCCTCAACAGCTTTGCTTGCGGTTTTCAGGCTTTGGAGTTCCCTAAACCCTAAACCCTAAACCCTAAACCCAGGTAGGGTTCCGGATTGAATTAACACCTCAACCCTGCAGGGTTTAAGGTTTGGGTTTTGGGGTTTGGGGTTTAGGGTTTAGGCTTTAGGGTTTAGGCTTTGGGGTTTAGGGTTTAGGGTTTAGGGTTTGGGGTTTGGGCCACCTTAAGGACTTAAAGCCCTGAGCCTTATGAGCCCTTGCCGGAACCTTATGCCTTCGGATGGTAGGGGGCGGTTTAGGGTTTAGGGTTTAGGGTTTAGGGTTTAGGGATCGCAGCTACTGGCCTAAACCCTAAAACCCTAAAGCCTAAACCCTACACCCTAAAACCCGAAACCCTAGACCCGAAAGCCTAAAGCCTAAACCCTGCTGAGACGGCCAAGAGGCCATCGTATCCAAGTCTGCGAGGATAAGGCATTCCGGTACAGCCTGGCTCGAGGTTTTGCGGTTTAAGGGATTAGGGTTTTAGGGTTTGGGGTTTAAGGGTTTAGGGTTTCGGGTTTTAAGTATTCGGGGTTTAAGGATTTAGGGTCTTGATTTAGGGTCTTAGGGTTTCTAGGGTTTGGGATTTAAGGGTTTAGGGTTTTGGTTTGGGGTTTGGGGTTTAAGGGTTTAGAGTTGTAGGGTTTGTAGGGTTCATGGTTTAAGGGCTTGGGGGTTAAGGGCTTTCCGGGTTTAGGATTTAGGGTTTCTAAGGAGTTTCTAGTGTTTTTAGGGCTTTTGGGATTTAAGGCTTTTAGGGTTTATGGTTAAGGGTTTAGGTTCTTGTTGCAGGATGTCTTCCCGGATTGTGAGGGTTTGCAAGATTCGATCAGAAATTGCTCAAGTTTGTCCAACTAGCCACTTGTTTCACTAGGGGTATCTTACTCATCAGGAGGTCATGAGGTTCGGTGCACTGCCAAGAAAAGCGCAGTTGCACAATGAGAAGCTCTCCCCAAAGCATCCATAGGAGAATGCCAGGTCATGTGTTGACTGAAGAACCACAGCCAGTGCTTCCTCGCATGTGCGCTCAAACCAATTCTGGACACCTTGCTTCTTCCGATTGTCCAACCGGGTGGGAGTTGCAAGCTTTAAGAACGTTCCAGAATGCTTGAAAAATCGGACCTTTCTCTCCTCCGCCCTTTTCACAGTCCAGGGACTTTGAGGCTTCGCAAAATGGAGGTCCACTGGAACGAAGAAACTGGAAGGACCTTTGAGTCGATGTTCTGCTTGATGATTCGTCCGATAGTAGCGGTCAGGCTGTCATTGCTTTCGACAGCTTCGTGCATGTAGGAATGCTCAAGAAACATATGTGATGCGCAGTGTCCCTTCAGGCCGGTTTCGCTTGATCGCTTCGGCTCACATTCCCAGCTGGTAGGTGTCAAAAGCGGGGTTAAACTTGGCGCGTCTTCAGTTCAGCCCAGTTCAAAGGGTCCGCTTGGGACAGACAGCCCCACTATTTGGCTGCGTTGACCCTGTACCCTACCTAGAGTTTAGCAGCCATTACCCCTTAATAATAGGTAGAGCCCATAAAACTCTAGGTACCTACAGTTTCGCAGCCATTACCCCTGAATAGCATGTAGAACCATAAAACCCTATGTATTTAGAGTCCCATTACCCCTTACTGGTAGGTAGAACCCATATAAAACTGTAGGCATTTGGAGTCCCACGTAACCCCAAACCCCTGAAGCTCCCAGCTTGGAGGATCATACGACTCAGTTGGTATGCTTCCTAAATCGGGGTCCTTGAAGGGTTCTATAAGTAATCTATACAGGTTTAGGGTTCTAAGGATAGGTTAGAAGTATCTTAATGGGATGTTAGAAGTAAATATCTATGTATAGTTACCTTACTTCGTACCCTAATTGCTAAATCTCATGATCCTTTAAGGATCCGGGAAGGTACGCTAAAGCTCCGAAGAGAATCAAGGGGTAGGGTTTTCGGTTAAAGCCTTAGGGTTTTGGGTTGAGGGGTTTAGGGGCTCAGGGTTTGGGGTTTAGCACATGCAATTTGACCCGACATTCTACACACCTTGAACTCTTCAGTTCGTGCCGGGACCACGTAAAAGGTTCATTGGGTGTTTGCGGGTTCTAAGGGTTCGTTATGGGCTTATAAGGATTCCATAGTGAGGGTTTTAGATTAGGTTCCCCAGTAACACCCGCATCATGAGGGTACTATACTGTTCGGTTCTAAGAATGAAGCCAAAAAGTAACAAGCATCAGCATACGAGGGTACTATAGGGGCCTTATTAATTACCTAACGATTTTGGGGGTTGCTTATCATAATTATAGTATAACGGGCCCCCAAACCCTGTTCTAACTATTTAAGGCCCCTACATTAATTACTGTACCCTAATTGCTAAATCTCATGATCCTTTAAGGATCCGGGAAGGTACGCTAAAGCTCCGAAGAGAATCAAAACGGAGACTTCACATCGTCGTGGAAGTCCTGAGGGTCAGGCCACGCGCTTTGAGACCAGCCGGCGGTGATGATCTCCCGCTAGATGCGACACCACCTGTGGTAGTTGTCAAAATTTATTTAGGTGCCGTACTCGGCATGTGGGAGTTTCCGAAATAATGGGTACCTTATTGTGGGGTCCTTACAATAGGGATCCTAGTATTTAGGGTACTATAGTAGGGGTAGTTGTCAAAATTAGGGTCCCTTTTGGGGTACCCTAAATAATAGGTGCCGTATTATAATAAGGACCCAAAAAGGGACCATAGTTTTGACAACCACCCACCTGTGGTATACGCAAGGGCCTCAATAAGTAGAATAAAGCTTGGAGTGAAGTCATGAACCGTAATACGGGGTACTCTTCGGCGTGATGGCTTGTTTGGGGTGGGGGTTTTGAGGCTTCGTGGTTCTTACCCTCGGCATCAAACTAGCCCAAAAGCCTCAAATAACAGGGTCTTGGGCCCAAAAGCCTTATAATATGAGTCCTTGGAGGGTAAGGGTTAATGAAGGCTCTTTAACTCTCTTCTTCAATAACCGCACCTGAGTGCTCCTCGTCCGGTGACGGTATTTCCGTTCGACCCAGAGATGGCCCTGTACCCATGGGCCCCATAGTAGTTCCTTTTTGTGGCTTATATTTAGGATTCCATTAGGGAATCCCCAAAAAGGAACTACCCTAAACCCTAAACCCTAAACCCAAACCCCTGACCCCTAAACCCTAAAGCCTAAAGCCTAAACCCTAAACCCTAAACCCGCATCCCAGTCCGCCACGCATCAGTCCCTGAACTAGGACTTCCAGTCCGCTTCGCCCATCCTTTAGGACTTTAGGCTTTAGGTTAGGGTTTAGGGTTTAGGGTTTAGGGTTTAGGGTTATTAGGGTCATCCTTGCATCATAGAGCCATATTATAGAAGCCTTAAGAATCAGAATAGGGTTTTGGGGCCCAGTATAGCATAGTTATTATAAGGAACCCCCACCTAGTATAGGGTTTAGGGTTTAGGGCCTTGCATCATACAGCCATAGGAATGGACCACTTTGAGAAAGGAGTACACCATGGAAGAGCAGGGTACTTAAAGGATCATGGGGCTTAGTAATTGGGGTGATAACTAAGGTAACTACACTTATATTTACTTATAGCCCCAATTAAGGGACTTATAACCTTACTTACTAAGTCCCATGATCCTTTAGGTATGACCCGGGTGAGAGGGTTTTGCCAGGCCCTGGGTGCCCTCGGCCGATTGTTGATGCCAAAATGAAAACCCTGACTGCCCTAGTTCCTCATGATGTTAGGAGTTTTACGGTTTCAGGGTTTAGGGTTTAGGGTTTAGGGTTTCAGGGTTTAGGGTTTCAGGGTTCAGGGTTTAGTGAGAATCCTCCTCGACGACAGTGCCCTGGCATACACCTTTGAACCGTTCTCGATGTGAACTTGGTGGGCAGAATACCCGAAGAGGGATGGATTCAGTAAAATGACAGTGAGCACCTCCTCGAATTGCCCGAAAAGGGCTTTTTCTGCAACGGTGGCCCTCCAGTCATGACAGAACTCGCTGCCCTCTTTCTTGTCCGACTGCCTTTTCACCATGACAATTGCGCTGGGGGGCGGCTCATGAACCCCGAAACCCTAAACCCTAACCCCAAACCCTAAACCCTAAACCCCAAACCCCAAACCCCAAACCCTAAACCCTAAACCCTAAACCGACGATTCTTGCCGATCTCACAGTCGTTTGTCATCTGCCAAAGAAGCTCCAAAGCTGCATATCCCTCGCCAAACCTTCTATGAAACACGACAGACGGACAGAGAGAGAGAGAGGGAGAGAGAGAGCTCTTTATATATATATATATCTATCTATCTATCTATCTATCTATCTATCTATCGATCTATATACGTATATCGCCTGTCTGGGCAGGGTTCTATTGGGATCCTATTCGGGTTTTTTCCGCGGTTCTATCGGGGTTTCTATCAGAGGGCTGCTATTCAGGGTTTATACGGGACAGGGATTCAGGGTATATGGTGTCAAAAGGGTGTACCCGGGGAGCATACATCAGCTTACTGGTGTAACGCATGGAGAGTGGGGCTAAGGGTGGAGGGTCTCAGAGATTAGGGCCCTTGCACACAAAACTGCAAGCCTAACCGCTAACCCACACGATGCTAAAAAATATTACAGCCTTAGCACCCCAAACTAACATCATAAAACCCTCACCAACAAAAGCATGTAACAGAAACAACACACATAAACTTATACAGCAAAAGCTTGACGTTGAAGCCCACACGCTACCTATAGTCTCCATTGTAGTTCCTTTCCACGAGCCCTACAGCAGCAAAACCCTTACAAGCAAACCCTGAACCCTAAACTCTTGAACCCTGAACCCTTAAACCCCTAAATCCTGAACTCCGAAACCAAACTGAAGCCCAGAAACCACAAACCCTAGCACTGAGCGCTGAACCAGAAGCACACGCCCCCAAACCTAAACCCAACAGAAACTGCTTAAACCCTATGAAAACCTTATTGAACTTTTGGGTTTAGAGTTCAGCCCAGAATCGTGACCTTCCCTCACGACCCTAAACCCTAAACCCTCACAGCCCTAAACCCTCACAACCCTAAACCCTGAACCTTAAACCCCTAAACCCTAAACCCTAAACCCTAAAACCCTAAACCCTCACAACCCTAAACCCAAAACCCTGAACCCTAAACTCTCACAGCCCTAAACCCTAAACCCTGACCCTTAAACCCCTAAACCCTAAACTCTCACAGCCCTAAACCCTCACAACCCTAAACCCTAAACCCTGACCCTGAAATCCCTGACCCCTAACCTCTTAACCCTAAAACCTCAAACCCTAAAACCTAAACTCAAAGCCCTGAACCCTGAACCCTAAACCTTGACAGCCCTAGACCCTAAACCCTGAACCCTGAAACCCTAACCAAAACCCTAACCCTGAAAGCCCTAAACCCTATGAAGACTTTAATCCTGAACCCTAAACCCTAAAACCCTAAACTCGAAACCCCGAACCGTTACTGGGCTTTGAAGTAACCAGGCAGAAAAAAAAGTATAGACTTTTATTTCATGATGCAGGTCCCTCCAAAAAAGTATGAAAGGATGGTACTCCAAAGAACCCTAACTCTTAAGTATCCCCTAAACGGATCCCTTAAGAAACCCTGAACCGCTACGACTTCAACCCTGATCTTCTCGTCCGGCCTCAGCGACCGAGGCCGGACTCACCTGTCAGGAGTTCTCTAAGGTAGGGTCCCCTTTTCAGGGTTCCTTAAAGGGATCTATAGGCCCCCACTGTCTTAGGGTCCCTTCTTAGGGGTTCCTAGGGTGTAGGGTTTGGGGTTTAGGTTTGAGTTTAGAGAACTACACCTGTGACAGAAAGCCACGACACGTAGCCCTCCGCTCTAACATGGCGGCGTTTAGGGGTTCAGGGGATTAGGGTTTGGGGTTTAGGGGTTTAGGGCTTTGGGGGTTTAGGGGTTTTGGGTGTTTTGGGGGTTCCTTATTATAACTTTAGTATCATAGTTTAGGGTTTAGGGTTTAGGAGTTTAGGGGTTAAGGTCTTTTGGGTTTGGGGTTTCGGGTTTAGAGTCATGTCTGGGTTCAGGAATGGGTAGTTCTCGAAATGAGGGTTCCTTTTTAGGATCCTTTTTCATATTAACGGGACCCTAATGTAGAGAAGAATTCACATAGCAGGAACTATGCGGTTTAGGGTTTAGGCTCTGGGTTTAGGGAGGAGAGTTTACGGATTAGTCAAAACCAAGTGGGTAGCTGGTTGAATTAAGGAAGCCTCATAGCGGCATCAGACAAGACATTGTCCCAAAGGCTCCAAGTATGCAGATAGTACCTACTTTGGGGCCTACCGCCTATAAGTAGCTTATAAATAATGCCTGCTTTGGGCTATTTGGAGTTTCAGGGTATTGGATGTGCCAACAACACTATAATAATAGGAATTGTAGTAGTCATCGCCCTACCCTTACCCTCCAAGGACTCATATGTTAAGGCTTTTGGGCCCAAAGACCTTATTATATGAGGCTTCTGGGCTATTTTGATGCCAAGGGCTAAGAATCATTCAGTCATGAAGCTGCCTTGAGATCTTGCACCCTGAGGGCCATAAGCCCCAAACCTTAAGCGCTTAGAGCCCTAAACCCATATAAGCCCTTCACGCCACTCAAAAGGGGAGGGGTGCTGGGGGCCTTCTGAAAAGCTGGATCCTCCGAGAAAATTGGCATGGACCTTCCCAAGACCTGTCGTAACTCTTTCTCCGAGACTCTGGAACCTCTCGGCTAAGGATTACCTGATACCCTGAAGCCCTAAACCCCTAATACCCTAAACCCTAAACGCTGAACCCCGAAGAACCGACGGTGAGGAGTCTAAGCAAATAACCTAGGGGCCACAACGATTAGAGTAGGGTTTTGGTGTATATTGTACTATAACTACAATACAGAAACCCCAATACACTGTTGATGATACAAAGCCTGCATTGCCTTACGGACCCTAACTATGGGAATTCTGGTATATTCCTTGCTATGGGTAGTGCAGGATTAAGACCATGTAACTGTAGAAATAAATAATTAACCCTAAACCCTAAACCCTAAGCACCCTAGTCCCTAAGTACAGGTAATTAATAGTCAGGATATTATTGTCTAACCCAAAACCCTAAACCCTAAACCGTATAAACCCTAAACCGTATAAACCCTAAACCCTAAACCTTATTGTCTACCTCCGTGGCCGAAGGGCCCAGGCTGGCCAAGTCTGTTTACAATGTTGGTGAGCCTTTGATTTCGAAAGGTGTGGGACAAGTTTAGGGTTTAGGGAAGTTTGGGGTTTAGGGTTTAGGGTTTAGGGAAGTTTAGGGTTTATAATGTACCTTACCCCCAAAGAAGCTACCTTTTTCAGGACTTATATATAGAAACTATAATAAGGATCCCTAAAAAGGTATGTTCTTTATAGGGTCTAGGTAGGGTTTAGGGGTTTAGGGTTTAGGGTACTGTTATACTAGCTCCGTGGCCTTGGAGGTCTGCCGCCCTCCACTATTTCACAGCGTCACCGTGCGTTTTACAAAGGAGTTATGTAGGGACATCGAAGAAGGAAGCCCGAAAAGGTGGGGTATTTAGTAATTAGGTATACCCTGCGCTATAGAGGGAAGATTATGTTTTAAGGAACATATTCCTTAATCAGAGGGTGTCAGAGCCTCTAGGTTTCTAGTCAACTCTACACCACACAGCTAAACCCTAAATCCTAAACCCTAAACCCTAAACCCTAAACCCTAAAGACTCTTGCATGTGGGCAACAAGGCTCCCTTGGTCGTACTTCCGACTCAATGCCTAGAGTTTCGACATACGAGCCGAACACCATCAGCAGAGGAGGCGTGTTGAGGGCAAACCTTTAGAAGATACTAACCCGTACCCTCCAAGGACTCATAATCTGAGGCTTTTTGAGCTATTTTGATGCCAAGGGCAAGACAAGGGAAACCGACAAGTACTTAGTCTTGGGCGGCATCAATATCCGAGTGAGATTTCAATATGGCCCTAGCTACACAGTCTGGCTTCTCGAAGTATGCGGCACCTGCCGGTCAACGTTGATGGTTTCCAGACTTGGTATCCACACCAGCGTATCCTGCCACAGTATGGCTGGGAGGTTCCTAGTAGCACAGGCGAGTGTGTATGGGGGGGTTGGGTATTGGAGAACGCAACTCAGGAAATGGGAGTTAGGATTAGGGGGACCCTTGGGGATATAGACCCTCTCAATAAGGTCCCTTTTAAGAGAGCCAGAAGTAGGGTTCAGAAGGGTCCCCTTTGAGGGGTCTCCCTGTTACTACCTAGGATAATACAAAGGTAGGTAACCTTTAACCTTTTTGGGGTACCACAAAGGGTTCTATAAGGGCTCTACAGGGGCTCCATAAGGAAGTTTGACCCGAAAGCCGAAACCCTTGCCCTGAACGCCTGTTTTGCTAGATAATCCCGGGAACCTAAACCGTGTCTTCTAAACCAACATTCCTACCTGGACCCCAAAAGTTTGTAGAATAATTGCCTCTTCAAGGTGTTGGGCCATTATTTTGCCTACTTTTTTTACGGGTTAGGTAAACCCTAAACCCTGAAACCCCCAATGAACCCCAAGCCCTACACCCCAATACCATTAAAGGAGCACTATAAAAAGGTAATCCTACTTTGGAGGGGTGTAGCCCTAAACCCTAACAAACCTTTACCCCTAAACCCCTAACAAACCCTAAACCCTAACAAACCCTAAACCCTAAAAGCTCAACCCTGTTCACCTAAGTCCCGACTACGCCCCGTGCCCGCCGTGAAGTCGCGTAACCCTGAAATCCTAAACCCCGCCAAGGCTTATGTAGGGTTTAGGGTTTCACGGTTTAGGGTTAGGGTAAACACCAAAACTCTAACCCAAAATGTCTCAAGTGAGAGGCGCCTCTGGGCTCCCATGGAAAGGTTCAACAAACCCTAAACCCTAAACCACTAAACCCCAACCCCTAAACCTCTAAACCCTTATGTAACCCCTAAACCCCTAAACCCCTAAACCCCTAAAGCCCTAAAGCCCTAAAGCCCTAAACCCTAAACCCCCTAAACCTTAAGCCTAAACCCCCCTTGAAGAGCCAGTCCCAACGACCGCAACCGTGAAGATCCCAAAGGCCGGTTCTTGGGTTTTAAGGGGTGGTTTAGGGTTT